ATTATATTACTATGTTAGGTCTTGACTATTAAGTGACTCACTATCACTATTTATAAAATAAAAATATCGTCTATTTAAGAAATGACATTGTATTTTTTTAATTTTCATAAAATATTGTTACTAAGCGCCGCGGCGAGGTTCATCTACGCATTACTATTTGGTGTAATGCGCCAATGAATCGTGGTAACACTATTGTATCTAACTGCGTATATAGGTAAAGCTGTTCTAGAACTTCATGGTAATGCCTCGAATACACTGGTAGGGCCGAGGAAACACCTAGAATGTTCTAGGTCCTAACTTAGAACAGTCTAGATGTGGTATTGGCCCCTATAAATACGAGATGAACTACCCGTCCCGGGATTAGCGTTGTGTAACTCACTCTTTTTTTTCTCTCATTTTCATTCTCATTTTCCCCCGTGAGGGACTCGCGAGTTACCTCTTATTTGAGGTGAGGATTGGTAATGTTATAGTAGCAGTGAATGAGTACGTAGCGAGGCGCGCGCGACTTTGCCGTTTGGTATAAAATGAGGGAGGGAGTCGGTAATGGAAAACAAAACATATTTTGTCTTTAGATTCTAAGGAACAAACTTTATTAGATTATTATTTAACAGAATGACCACAACAAGCAACTTATTTTTAATAGTGTCAAATAGTTCATTTTTAAAATCAATTAATCATTTATATTTCGAATAGAATAAAAATAATGAATTAATCGATTTTAAAAAAGGAACAACGGAATATAAATATATTTCTAAATTAAACCGATACATTTTTATTAACTTTGGTATTTACTAATTGATATTATTTATTAATAAAAAAAAGGTATTTGCAAAGAAACACATAAACAAACCTGAATCTTTCCAAAAAACTCATGATACTTAACCCGTTCCATCAATCTTGAATATATTGAGTAAGTATCGAGTCGACTTTTCATTCTAAACAACTCGCTATTATGTTGCGTGAGGTGTAATATCTGTGCTTGCGCCTCGTGCTTGAAGCCTCAAAAAGTGAGGAACTAAATGAGGTGGTTCAAAATTGAAAAACGAGTACTCCCTCATTGTGTCAAAATGTGGACCTTAAACAAGGCACCTCGCGCGTAAGGGGCTCATCACTATCCGGGATTCTTCAGTGAACAAGCGATTTGAAACCAAAAACGAACGGAAGCAAAACTCGAAGCTATAACTAGAGCGTTAAACGATCGATTAGTGTTGTGAAGTATTAATATTGACGTGAAATAGTGAAGTGGAAGTGTGAATTCTTGTATTTAAATTATATAAATATGATATTTGCTATTGTGCTTTTTTTTAGTAGAGACCAATCTCAAGGAAGAATTGGGTAATTATAACTACCGTTCAGTTTCTCGAATCTCGTGTCTCTCACTACGGGATGTTGGCAAAATTTCCGTGTATAACGGAACAAGGCCATATTTAAACAAAAGTATGAATTCTGTAGTTGGATTATTTTTTATAATTTCATTGTGTTTATTTTTATTCCGAACCCTGATTCGTAACAGTATCATAATATATGATGAAATATCTGAATAGAAATTACATTAAAAATATACATATTTTTTTGTGTCTGTATAGTATCAAATACTCTTACTATTTTGCTTATTTTCGCGCAATCCTGGAGGCCTACTCGCTTTCTCGAAAACGAAATTTCGCATGGAACGCTACTCTTTATCATTTTCGTATACACCAACGAATGTTCGTTTCCAAAGACAATTTTCGTGATCGATTGGAGTGAATGGCGTTATTGGATTTCTTATAATGTCAAATTCCGGTTTTTACCGTAACTTGAAATATATAATATTAAACAATACATATATTTCTTTTAAATAAAATTTTAGTGGCTAAACATTGTTTAAACATAAAATATTATAATAATATAACGAAAAACTTAGTATATTAATGAATTTTATTTTTCGTTACAACTTATCAAGACACTATAAAGAACTCTTTTATCCACAGTATTAACCGACATATTTAAAAACAACCTTTCATTTATACGATGGCTATAATCAACGTATGGCAATCTTAAATATCCGTATAATACAAACGATTCTCATCCCGCCAAAAGTTTTACAAGTTTTCACCAAACTGTTCAGTGTTTACTAATATTTTATTTAATTATTGTGAGTTCCGAAATTTATCTTGACAATTCAGTAAAAAACTTTATAAGTAAGTATGAAAGTAATATTTAGTTTTTCGACACAAAAAAAGGTTTTTAGTAATAAATTTACTTTTTATCAGTCATATTTTTCAGGTATAATGGCATAGCCTATATGCCTCGTAAAATCTGTAATATTAATGACATAATTCTATAGGTAATTATTCACAATTCATACATAAAGCCAAAATAAACAATAAACTATTAGGTACTCACTGTCTCTTAATAAGATTCTTTCATTTTGGTTTTGAGGGAATAATATATTTTCTTATAATACCTATCTGGTGAATTGAGGGCAGTCCTAACCTCCTTACACCGTGAAACTGTTTGTTGGACCATAGGCCCATCCATGTTTTGAGATACGAATCCTTGGTAACTACCTCGGGCATAAAAATTCAACGCTGTAAGAATCATAAAAATATGAAATGCATAATGGTAGGCATGCAATTTTTTTTATCAAGAACTACGATAAAATATCTTCCAAGTTTAATTGTGGACTCGATGGCATCAGATCTTGCCTGTGGACGCAGTAAAGGTATAATCTCTTGGCATAGTTCTTGAAATAATTCACAACTGAGTCTGTAAATACTTACAAACTCAGTATCGAGAATATTTCTTATATTAAGGCTATTTCGAAGCCGCTGCCGATTTCTTCTACGGTCTAATCGTTCTTTACTGAGAGCTGACTCGATTAATAGTAATATAGACCCCATTTCGAAAATAAAAAATTGCTAACGAAAATGAAAAGGTAACATTTTTTACTTCGTCAATTTGAGGTAAGAATTCCGAACAATTAGATGTCAAACTCAAATGTTCGTTTTGTCATTTCGTGAAATAGAGTAGGTTTAGAAAATAAATATGTCAAACATTTTCGTTCGTTGAATATTCGGAACGAACGTAATTGTGGTAGGAAACGTCCGAAATTTCGAACGATATTTCGTTTTTCGGTGAATTAGAGTAGGCTTCCTGTTCCTTTGGTAAATGCGTGTTTTATTAATTCCTCTGACACTTGAGACATTTTGTCATCACAAGTTGCACGACAATACGGTAGTATTGTACATGAATGATATATCAAAATGTTACTAAATATTTCCTATCCTCCAATATTTCCCTTATAAGCGTCGACAATATGGACACTGTGCGAAAGAGTTCATATGGAATGAATGCATATATACTGAACGAACTCTGTAGACAGGCAGACGATATCTGTCTAAAGTACAAGTCGCATGCTTATATTCTTTGGCCGTGAATCATGGTAAAACAATGATTCTGTGAAGTGTCTGGTAATACAGGGGACAGTTGAAGGTACCAAAGAACACGGTAAATCCCCGATGAGATGAATAGAGTTTGTAAAAGCGGTAACAATCTGCACCGTTCATAACGTGTGTACCAGAACGGCTGTAGTCTGACAAGAATGGCGCCGCACAACACAACTTATGGCATAAACTCATCCTGATTGACGACAACGACAACTCTGTCATGAGTGAAACGGCTAGAGTGAAGTATAATACCTGCATAATACCTGGTTCTGTTTGGACTTTTCCTTCACAATCAATTTAATTTAAATTTTCAATTCCCAATTCGGAGTTATTCAAATCGGAAACAACAACTGTGTCCACAATTCGATCCCTTTTTTCTCGCTCAAAGGATGTAAACGATTGAGAGTTCAGTTAATTCGAGTAGGCAATAATATCGTCTTTGACCGCCCCTCGAAAGTTTGTGTAAGCCAGCGGATCGCTCTTACTTCCTCTGATTCCTATTTTTACGAGCAAATTGGGTTTGATGAACCGACATTGTGATTTTCGAAGGACCCTACGTGTAACCTTGTATCGGGCAGGATTTCGATCTGATCGTAATCAAAGGGAATTTTTCCCCGTGCTGTTACTAAATGGTCGTTTATTTTATTAACTCCGTACTATTTTAGCATCAATTTCCTTATTATCAATAGAAGATGAATAATATTTTTGAACGTTTACATAAATGCATCTAAAATAACTGATTATAACTGTAATATTACGGCTTATGATTAAAAGTATTAGTACTATAACAAAAATATGATGATGATGATAACTTATTGATCATATATCTTCAAACTGATGAAGAGGTTGACATACTGGGCGATGGTGGTATAATCTCCAAAATCATGTTTTTAATAAGTATAAAAATAATTAAAGGGCTTTACTCAAATATTTATTACCTTTTCTAGACTATTGAAGGAAGGAAGCTTATAAAGCCCATAATAATATCCTTATCAAGTTATCAGTTCTCGCATTAGGCTTATATACCGCTTTTATAGCTCCGGTCGTTACTGTTTACAGAGGTACTATGGTCCCATGGGATATGTAGAACCCACGTTACTGTAACGAGGTAACAAAGCCAAATTTATGGTATATCTTCACCACGATGGTGTAACTATGAGTATAATTAATGATAGACATTATTTCCTTTGCATAAAACAATAGCGCTAAGAAGACTCACTATTTTTAAAAGTCTCAGTAGAAAGAAATATGTATGAACTTAAGCTGATAATGATCAGTCAACCGCAGTTATAAGATTGGAATGAATTTTAATTGATTGTTAAACATTTTATACGCGGAAACGCGGTCAATTTGTACTGGCGTAAATTGTCATAGTAAAAATGATCTTAAGGCTGGGTATGTCTGGAGTGCAAGAAACAAGTAAAAAATGGCGACAAAAGCAGAACATCAGGTATATTTGTGATACCGCTGAAGGTGTCATAAGTTGCTGTTCATTACACATGCAGCACTTGTTGCTTCTGACGCGGAATCAGAAATTAATACATGAAGAAGTTTTAGTCGTCTTTACATTATATGGACGAGCTGATGGAACATAGACTAGGAGAAGAGATACACAGGCAGATTCAGGCTGCGGAAGGACTCGTGGAGCTGCGACGGACAGTGGGGAGTCTAAAATCGGAGCAAAATGGCCAAGATCAGGACGCTCTATTATCTCCAGAAGAGAGATCCCAGTTTGTTAAAACCAAGAGAGTTTATTTCAATCATTTTTCATCCAACTTCGATGTGAGAAACTGCCATCAATCCACGTGCTGTCGTCAGTATGGCAGGCGCCATCCCATACTGCTACATATAGAGAGAATTCCATCACATGAAAGCTGTCGCGGCTCCGTTGCCGTCCACAAAGTCTGATAAATCTTCTGGTAATGTTATTAGTAGTTCGCAAAATTTAGATTAAGAGACATAGGTAGTAACTCATTTTGCAAAAGGGGAGCACTAAGTTAAGATGCTATTAGCCACGGCATTGGTCAGGGGTAAATCCACAAATGGCTACATTCAGTTGGAAGAGAAACTTAAGAAAAACAAATTTTCGAGTGGAGTATGCTAATTTTCTGGCAGATTATCTGCAACAAAATCATATGGAACAAATTAAGGACCAAAAAGAGATTAATAACCCTTACGCCGTGTACTTTCCTCACCACTCGTGCGGAACTGCAGATGTATCCAGAAGCAACAGCTTATCGTGCCTTTCAAAGCAAGGAGGGAGCTCGATTTTAGATCACCCATTCTATGAGCTGCTCTTGCGAAAGTTGCTAAACAACCCTATCGCAGACCGAGTGCGCTAACCACTGCGCCATTAAGCTCATCTGGCTATAATTTAGTGTAGTAATACGTCACAGAACATCTTGAAAAGTGCCTATTTATAACACCTACCATTTCATTTTCTCAATATTTAATTCAAAGGAAATAGAATGTTCCCATTAATTATTGCCTGGCAGTTTTGGCTAAAACAAAGACGAATTAATTGGCGACAAATAGCGCCGTTCTAAATCAACAGTTTCAATTAAAGCCACTGTTCGTTTACAATGCTCATTCAATTGTCAACGATTTACTATAAACGCTTATTCCTATAATTATAATTGTCGAAAAAAATATAAGCTGTCTAAGATAATTAAACAAAATTGTAATCTAAAGTTTTTAACCAATTGTGGCCCGGTTGTCAAAATTCGACCTTCAACTTTGGACATTATTAAGATTTGTGTGTTTCTCATATTGACATCCAGTAAATAAAACTATTAAGAGCATTAAAATGTTTTTTATGATAAGATGAGTTTTTTAGTAAACTTTTTTTTAAGCATTTTTGTATAAAAACCTATATAATTCTGCACTTTTTTCTAGATAAAATATGTAGAAAAAAGTGCAGAACTATTATTGTGTCTTACATACAGCAAATTAAGCCATAACCTACCAGTGCCTTTTGGTGGGTATTAACGACTACATATGGAGTGGTGATCAACCGTGACTTCCAAAGCAACATTGCAAAAGTTGCTAACTGCGCCATTGAGTCGGCCGTAACCAAATATTTATTGTCTCGGTCCTACATGGTTCAGAAGACATTTTAAACTGTTCATTCTGACTGCCGTTAATATAAACAGTATCCACCAAAAAGAACCGGGATAGCAAAATAAGCTGTAGTTTATTTTGCAATAAGCTACAGCTTATTCTATTAGATATATCCTATCTGATTCCATCCTAAAAAGATTGTTCCTTAGAAAATAGGAAATTAATATCCCATATTTAGGAAAATACTCAGTACTCAACACTTAAAAAAGAAATTTGTCAAAATTTAAATTTATGTGTAAAATAGATGTTGCTATATTATTGTTGCTTATGAACATATATGACCCTGTCGGATCATACTTCTACTGGACTAATTTTACCAAGTTATATTGAAAACAAAATAATATACAGGAATCTATATCACGAGTTACTTGTAGTCTACGATTACCGCGAGTAAAGTCAAGGGAAGACAAATAGTATATTTTTAAAATTTGTTCTTTGTTATATATGTTTGCTTTTGCTTCCAATATATTTTAAGTTTTTATTCTTAAAGTAAAATATACTAATTATGAACATCTGTTGACGGATCATATTAACCTCATAAAAAGCTCCGTTGATCAAAGTGTTTTTAAACTTTCTCAGCAATTACTGTACTTTGAATTTGAATTCGACCACGAAACCGCTAATTCAACTTCAGAGAGATTTCTGTGGAGCGTGAAAACGTTGATAGATGAAACTTTTATTTATGGGTACATGCTCTTTGGCCCAAAAACATTTTTATTAGGGGCACTCAAGTTCACGACCCCGGTGTTCCCGAATATATTTTCTAACTTCAACAAATTACTGTATTTGACAACGAAATTAGGCTTATTATTTAATGAATTAAACTCTTAATTTTCAAAGGGTCTACAGTTTTAATTTCAGTAACTTTAGGGTGCGTTTGGTTTTAGTGGGTATGCCTCTGCTATTTGAATAGCTCCATTCTGGGGTGGGTCCGCAGGGGAGTCTCACGTAACCCGCTGACCCCACGTTAGGGGGGAACGCGTATGCGTAAAGATTTCGCAGCGTCAAAAAAAAGGTGCGTTTGATTGACTGTTTTATTTGGACAAACGAACTTTGATATACGAGACATATTTCTGAAGAGCAGCTGTAAAACGATACTGATTTTTTGTATGTTTGGTTAAAAACTTTTTTGAATCAATAAATTGATATTGAAGGTAAAAGAATTTTTCATATCGGTCCGAATATACCGTTTTTTTTTAATTATTTTATAAAGTCTTTTTTTTCTTCTATTTTATGCAAAACTGTACAAAGTTTGATTTAATGCTTTTGGAATATGGAACAAATTGTTTAATATTTATTTCACAATTTGTATAAATTTATTATATAGTTTTTTCCAAAGCATTACGTTTCAAAGAAGTTTTACTTTAAAAACTTTATGGTATTATGGGAGCACTTTGATGAATTACCACGGAAACGAGATGCGGGAAAAGATTTATTTAGTAGGTATGTACAAAATTTTTCTTTGATGTTGACTTTTGATCTAAACAGTTTTCTTGGCGGGTTTTTATGTGGAACGAAACTATATGGCGCCATACTAAGGAGGTTCGAGCAAGCTACTTTCGCTTGGGCCGGTCATAGGATGTGTGACCAAAAATTTATTATCTTAAGTTTGGAAGGCATATTAAGCCGTTCCGTTTATTGACATCCCGACTGCTGGAGCTTAGGCCTTCCCTATAGATGGAATCGAAATAAAATCGAATAGGAAGAATGGGCCATGACCCACCATGTGGGCGCAGTGCGGATCGATGGGAACGACTGTAAATGCAGCCGGGATCAACGGTTTAACGTGTCTTCTGAATCACGAAGGAAATTGAGATATTAAATAGGTACGTGGGTGGGTTACTATTCATCATTCCTATTTGATGTTTCATAGGGAATGGCTATTCCCAGCAGAAGGGACAAAATGCTAATAATAATGATAATACTAGTACGTCAGATAGAGCGTTGGCATCTAAGAAAAAATTAACTGAAAACAAAAACTTTCTCAACACTTTCTCGGTGCTTTCTTTGACTTGGAATCAACTAGGAATATTTTACTAAACGGACGAGTGCTCTTACAATTGAGTTAAAAGACTGTAGAATTTTTCAAGAAGTTGTTTATTATTTTCGTTGCTAATAAGCGATTTCCGACAATAGTTTATGTATCTAATACACCTTAATTCATATAATTCACGCAAAAATAATGAAATCAAATGAAGACCGTTGCTTAACGATACGATTAGGGTAGAAGAACAATTTGAAAGTAATATGGTTGAATTTCTATCGCAAATCTAAACATTCAACTTATGACTTGAAATTATTAATATTTTTTACTAAATGGTACTGTATACAAGTACCATTTAGAAAATAATACTTTAAATAATATAATAAGATTGTAATTTTATATAACGCTATGTTCTGACAAAATAAACAGAGCCAGAACTTCGACAGACTGTGTAATTTTATTAACAGAAAAAGTCGAATAAAAACTTATCGAAAAAGGAATGGATAAAAATGCTATGCAAAATGCATGCTTTATCAGACTATGATCAAGATTACATCCCAGTAGTTCCATGTCAACATAAAACTGAAATAATTGCCGACATTGTTGTGAAACAACACTCTACTCCCGACATATAACAGGACAGTGAGACAAATTCTCACACACTGAGCGCAATAAAAATATAGTAAAACAAAACGCCGTCATAAGAGCACAGCAGCATTCCTCTAAGTAGTCCCATAAACTACGAGAGATATCCAACAAAAGTAATTTTACAGACAGGGACTAATCCATCGACAAGGCCGCCCGCCACTGCGTAAAAACTTCGCCCAATAGTTTTTAAATGATCTTTACTTTGAGACAGACTCACCAATTAAGTTTCATGAAATTTCCTTTGATATTCCATAATTGGTAATAAAAATTTTGTTAAATGTCTAATCCACATTACATAATACAAAATTAAATAGGCCTAATATTTCAAATGCTTTTGCACGACATGATATCACATGTAAACTAATATAAATTATTAATACTTCTGTATATTAATACGTCATCTATTACTAACATATTGATAAAAAAAACATATCTTACATCATTCTATATTATTTATTAATTATTATCAATGTCTGTTTTAACAAACTCTTTATAAATATCTCCTTATAAGCAAAACGCATTGTGATAAATTAATAAAACTTTAAGATAATTAGTGATTTTGTAGGTCCTACGTCGGGGCACATACCTTATTATTCCTACCCTAGATGCGTCTCTGTTTACAAGGTACAAACCGAGATAGATATGGCCTTAGAAGGATGTAATCGAATAAAGTACTAACTCGCGCTTTTATCACCGTCAAGTTCCTTTGACTACCGTCATTTTGCGAAAGACAATTGTGGCTGGGGTTATAGATTCCAATCTCACAGATGTATTATAAAAGTAAAAGTTGTATGAAGAACATAACTTTATAATGGTATGAATATGTTTTCGTTGGTTTTATGGTTGTTCGGTCATCAAATGCTGCGTGAGAAGTCATTTATTTTTAAATTATCAGGCATATGAGGATTTCAGATTGTTCTATTATTTGATGGAGTTTAAAGAAATGACAATTCAAACAATTTCATAATTTACTGTATAAATTAACATTTAAAATCACTATTATGCAACGAAGGAGATAAGAATCGCAAGCCTGCTATGGACCGATATTAAAGTTATAAAACCTCCTTACTTCAGACCTCACCTAAATACAAAGATATTATCTCTGTTGAAAGGTATCTTAACACCGGTTGAAATTATATAACATGTTGATCTCCAT